ATCATATGCACGTACAAAACCATATGGATGATATCCAAGAAAAAATAGTATAAATAACACCGCAAACATTTTTGTTATACGTATTTCACGTCGTAATGAATGCGATGCTGATACTGTATTTGTATTTGTTCTTACAGTTGTATTTGTTGCACGAAAAACATGAACAAATATTACAATAAAACAAATTATAATAATTACATTTGGTAGAAATATAAGAACTGTTATATTAATAAATATTTGTAATTTATTACCGATTGAACAACGTAATGCTCGATGTGAATATCTTATTGAATCCGTTAGAAATGATGGTATACAACAAGTAATAGGTAATACTCTTGTTATAACAAGTGAAACAATAACGTAAGTTTTCACTGACATTCGACGTAAAAAATTTGGATAAACAACAACAATCAATCTATGTATTGCAATTAGACAATGATGCCAAAGAAGACAACCCATACAAATAGTAGAAAAATAGACGACTAATGTACATATGAGATCACCACCAACCCAATGTCGATGAGCATAAGAAAGACCGACGAAAAGTTGATTAAAACCAATATTTAGTAAATCATTAAATTGTAACTAATAGAAAAGAAAATAAGATGCGTAAAATACAACTGTCTTTTATAGGAAACTAATTTCTTTTATCTGTATTGAAATACATGTAAAAAACTATAGTCGAGAAAATCTTTGAATTTTTACCATAAAAGATAAATCAAAAATTGAAAGAAATGATATAAATTAAATCTTACCGAAACAATAAAAATATTAATAATATTTGATCGAAGTTTTTTAGCAGAAAGTATAGTTGTTATAAGAATTATGTTTCCAATAAGCCCGAAAAAAATAAATACAATTGCAAGTATTGCACCAATAAATGTAGCTTGTCTTGTTGGTTCTCTTGGAAGATTTGAAAAGTTTTTTTGTTGATAATAATTACTTAAGGTAGTGTTTACTGACCAATCGCTTGATGTAACTAATCTTGTCTCGTTCATTATTATTAATCAGAAGGATAAAATAAAAACACAATTTAGTTGTTATTAATTATTCTAGAATATTTAATACAAAAATCAAAATAAAAGAGGTATAGATAGCTATAATCAAGTTAGCGCGTCGATCTTCATTGAGAAGTATTTATCGGCAAACACAAGAGCGTATATAAGAAGTAGAGTGAAAGAGAGATTTTCTTCATCATGGAATATTCTTTATTTCTCTCGAGTCATCTTCTCTCTTTTTTTCTTCTTCTTCTTCTTCTGCGTCTTTCTCTTTTACTAGTTTTCATTCATGTCTACTGATATTAGTTCTAAGAGACTATGTAATAAATATATGAAAAAAAAAACATCTTATGTTAAGATAGGCGGAACGATACGATGTTAATAAGTACAACTAAATGAATTCATAGAAAAATCATACAAATTAACAATAATCGATACTATTTATAGTAAAAAAGAAATAAAAGCAAAAAAAAACGTTAATGTCAACATTACGTTTCCGAGCATTCTATAAATACAGAAATATTTCTAATTAGTGAGCCATTTCTTTTTTTCCTATATTTACCCATCGATTTTTCTAGTTAAAACATTCTTGTAATTCAGTGCAAATTGGTAATAAAATAAATTTCTTTTTTTCTTCTTCATCTCTCTTTTATTCATTCATTCTTTTTGTTCTAAGTAACTAGAATATAGAAAAACTGAATATGTGTCAAAACTACATAATGAATGACTGCTTATCTTAAGACGTCAGATGAATTGTAACAAAGAACACGTAGAATTCACATTATCTTACTTTCCCATTGTATTCATTGAATTATAATTAATATATCCTGATGGTACTATCATTGACGAAAAATAAAATTCTAGAAGCTAAAAGAAATATTAGATACCTTAGAGATCTATATGTATATATCTATTCAATATAAACAAATTAAATTAATAAATGAACTCTAATAATTCTTTCTTTCTTCTCTTCTGACTATTATTTCAATAATACTTATAGTTAATCAATACGTACAAATGTTCGAATAAATAAAGTGGCAATCTGATGAGAAAAGAGTTCGTATTCCACAAGAAGTCATGACAAGTGGTATTCAAAATAAAATGAATTTAATGTTATCGTTGTCTGGCGGATTAGAAGACTACATGAGTATTTAGACTGTTTTCTAGTTCGTTATTGTACTGACTTTGTATTTATGCTCGTTCTCTTTCTCTCTATTTCTCTTTCCATTTTTTTCTATGAGACTCCGATAGATTGTAAATGAAGGGTAAAAAAACTACTGATTTTCCCACATTCTCTTTTTTTCCTGTTTGGAAAAATCAAACTTACAATAAATATTTTGTACAAGAATCATAGTCTATCTCTTTTTTTCCCTTCCGTTTCCATTTCTCGTTAGTTATTTTTAAGTGTTTTTTATATCATCAATCATTGTAACTAGTGACGAAAATTAAGACAATATTAATGAATAAAGAACTATTTTATACGTTCAACATGATTAAATTATCATTCCGTTATTTTATATTTCTTCTCTTTGTTTCAGCACTTATCTTTGCTATTAACATTAGTTTCAAATAGAAACAACAGACATGACGAGAAGAAAAAACTGTTAA